GTTAACTACTCCTTATACACCTCAACAAAATGGTGTAGCTGAAAGAAGGAATAGAACATTATTGGACATGACAAGATCAATGATGGTGCAGGCAAATTTGTCTATCTCTTTTCGGAGAGATGCATTATTGACTGCAGCTTACATATTGAACAAAGTGCCTTCTAAATCAGTTTCTTCCACTCCTTATGAACTTTGGACTGGTCATAAAATATACATGAATGATCTACGATCATGGGGTTGTGCAGCATATATTGAAGATCGCTTTGGTGAGTTTGGTAAACTAAGTCCAAAAGGAAAGAAATGTATCTTTATAAGGTACTATGAACGCTCCAAAGGGTATGTGTTCATCGATGAACGGGAGGTTGTAAGTATTATTGAAATTGTATCACAAAATGTCAGATTTTTGGAAAATGATTTTCCCAAAATAGATGAAATAGATGAAGTTGAGCCTCTCTACGAAATGTTGAATTCAGAAGATCAGGTAATGTTGTCAAACATACTTGATAATTCAATGGATCAAGAAATGATTCCTGATCCAAGTGGGGGTTATGAATCCCAAAATACTATAGAGAAATCTGAACTTCAAATACGTAAGAGTACAAGAAAAGGTGTACCTAAATGATCTTATGAGATTGAGGATTATGTTTTCTTGGTATCTCCTACAGAATTGGATGAACCTAATTTTGTAACTAAGGCCTTATCGAGCCCTGAAAGGGATGAATGGTTAAAAGCGATGAAAGAAGAATTAGAGTCCATGAAAACCTGGGATCTAGTTGACCTTCCTAAGGAACGTAAAGCTATTGGGAATAAATGGATTCTTAAAGTTAAACGTAAATCAGATGGGTCAATAGAAAGACACAAAGCACGGTTGGTGGCAAAATGTTTTACTCAAGAAGTTGGAAATAGACTATGAGGAAACTTTTTCACCAGTTGTGAAGTTTACATCCATTCGATTACTTTTAGCTATTGTTGCACGTTTAGATATAGAATTACACCAAATGGATGTGAAGACTGCTTTTCTCTATAGAGAACTACACGAGGAAATCTACATGGAACAACCTGTAAGTTTCGTTATTAAAGGTCAAGAAAAGAAAGTTTGTAGATTGAAAAGATCAATTTATGGCCTAAAGCAATCTTCAAGGCAGTGGTACCTGAGATTTCACAAGGAGGTGATGTCATTTGATTTCACCATGATCGATGAAGATCATTGCATCTATGTGAAAAATTCCAATGAAAATTTTGTAATTCTTTCTCTTTACGTAGATGATATTTTATTAGCTGGAAATAATTTGGAGTATGTGAAAACTGTCAAGTCATGGCTTTCAAAATCATATGATATGAAAGATATGGATGAAGCAGATTATATATTGGGTGTTAAGATCCAAAGAGATCGTTCCAAGAAATTTTTTGAGTTTATCTCAAGAAACTTATATAAAGAAAATATTGGAACGTTTTTGAATTAATAGTTGCAAATCCATGGATACTCCTGTAGCAAGGGTTGAAACTTTAAGCCTTGAAAGGTGTTCAAAGACTGAAAAAGAAAAGGAAGACATGTCTCAAGTTCCTTATTCTAGTGTTGTTGGGAGTTTGATGTATGCTATGATGTGTACTCGCCCAAACATTTGTTATGACGTGAGTCTAGTTAGCAGGTATCAATCCAATCCTGGAAGAGATTATTGGAAAGCAGTAAAGAGAGTATTTTGATACTTGAAGGGAACTGCAGATCATACACTGTGCTATAGTGGATCTGATTTATTCATAAGAGGTTATACAAATGTTGATTGGGCTAGTGACCGGGATGATAGATTATCAACATACGGTTATGCTTTCTTACTAAATAGTGGTGCTATTTCATGGAAAAGTAAGAAGCAAACTTGTACAATTCTTTCAACCATGGAATCTGAATTCGTGGCTTGTGCGTCTGCAGTACAAGAAGTTGTTTGGTTAAAGACATTCTTTGAGCATTTGAGTATTGCAAAGAATTCTAAGGGTCCCATGATTCTATATTGTGATAATCAAGCGGCTATCGCATACACGAAGGATCCTAAGTATCACAGCAAGACCAAACACATTGACATCAAGTATAACTTTGTGAGAGATGTAGTGGCAATAGGAGGAATAACTTTACAATACATTCCTACACATAAAATGATAGATGATCCTTTTACAAGGCCATTTCTAGAGACTTGTTTGAAAAACATGCTAAGGCTCTAGATTTGTATAGGATTTGATGATATTTCAGTATTGTAAAATAACTTGATTGTTATAATATTCTCTTATATATAATACTATTGGATTTATATTCAAATATAATATGCATGTGATATTTTGTAAGAAATAAAGTGTGTCGAACAAGTCGCGAGATTGGCTCTCTCACACGAGCAATCGCCTCTTACGTCGAGGAACATGAAGAGATGAGTTTCACCACCATATTATGACTTGTTTTATGAGCCAGGCAAACGTTTCTCTAAGATAATGAATTTAAGGATCACTGAAGAGAGAAACTAGGGTTAAACATCTGGAGGTATTTATACCAAGGTCTGTACGATGTTGGATAATCGAAAGAATGGGACGCATACACCAATATAAGATGTAAACATCGTAGAACGTGTTTCATACCACGTGTATCAAGTGATCAATGGGTCAATGAAAGAATGGTTTCCAGCTTCTTCGTTGTGTGAGACCCCAAAAGGTTAAAATGACTTTCAATGAAATACCCTTTTACCTTTTACTGTTTCTTGAAGTTTCGATCGGTGTTGCTACTTTAGCATGTTACTAATAGCCATGAGTGATTCGGCAATGAAATGCATGTCTAGGAAAGCAGTTGATATGGAACAAATAGATTAAAGTAGAAAGGGAAGATGATTAAAATGAAAAATTTAACTTGTATACATAAGTCGGCTATTACACTCGAGTGTAATTGTGTATATAAAGTTAAAACGTGAACTCGAGTTCACCTCTTTAAGAGGTTGAGGGATCAAATAAGTATCTACTAAAGTAGTGAATGACGTCTGGGATATTGTGAGTAATAGTGTCCTTAAAATTGTAGTGAATTCTTTCCACATGTGATTGGATTCCTACGTAGGGCTTGTAAAATCTTAAAGGTAAGCTCTCCATGCTCACAGTTCGCACGAACTATTTGTCATATGAATTGTGTATTTGATTGATGTTGTGTTGTCTTGGGTCTTGTCCACCATGTGCGAAGTGGGAGATGTAAATTTTGGGTCATGGGTCGCCCATGTGGACCGATCCGACCCAATTTGTTTTGCCCTATCCAATTTAATTAATTGATTAATTAATTAATTGGATAATCCTTTTAAAATGATAAGGGAGAACAATTACAGAACCTCCCCTTAAAAGATTCCTAGTGGGAGTTACTTTGGTGAACGTGGGAAACGTAAAAGAGAAGACAGAAACAAGAACAGTAAACAATATCACTCTTAGATCAAAGACATCCAACAAAAAGGACATTTAGTTTGTGAATCAAACTTGGATTCCTAGTGATTCAAAGACGGACTTGAGTGCAATCCTGTCAAAGTAGCAAAATCAACGACTTCCGCTGCAAATTAAGGTACACAACTTGTCGGTTTTTGCTCTATATATCTTACACGAACAAAGCAAAAAAAAAGGGGTGGGGGATTAAATTTAAAATGAAATCATGATTACCTTTCAAGCTTTCACTAATCTATGGTGATGACAACAATAAGGAAACATGAATAATGGAAGTAGAATCAAACGAGGTGTTCTTTTATTCGTTTTTAGCAGCTTTGTGTGGAGATTCGAACCCACACCTACAATGTGAGCAGGAGAGCCTCACACTGCTCTAGGCCGCAACATCTTGATGTGTTCAAAGTGTCCAATGTATTAAATTTAATTGTTACAAATAATATTTTACTTATGTATACGGTATAATTTTCTGGCGAAGGGTGTCCAATTGAACACTCTCGGGACACGGTAGCTCCGCCACTGCCTCACATCCATCACTAGTCATGGAAGATGGGTCAAAGGAAAAAAAAATCAATTTCTAGGCTTTTTTGTCAATTTGAATTTCCAAGTCAGCAAAAAACATTGTTTTATGTGATTTTTAAGGTTGAGGGGTAAAATTGAATCAATACATTAGCAGTAAGGTTATTTTTTACCCCAAAATCAAACGAAGAGTATATTTGATCCATTTCCATTAGTTCAAAGGTATTTTTATTATTTTTCCTAATTTATAGTTATTTACAATAAATATATACTACATTTTTATTATATCATGTAACTTTTCCTTATTTATACCATGTCATAACTAAACTATACTCAACAACATTAATTTATTTTTAAAATAAAAATAAATAAGCATAAGTTTTATAGTATTTCAGAATTCATTGTAGTATTCAAAAACTAAAGTTACACTTTTTGAGACATGATCATTTTCACTTTATTTGAAATTTTTGAAATTGGAGTTGAAAATGAAGTGTTTGATTATAATCCTTGCAAATAATATTTAATTGCTCGAATATACTTCTTTTTTTAAAAAGACACATAACAAAATAACTTGAACTAAAATTTAGAAAAATATAGTGAAATGAAAATAAGATTTTAGGTGATTTTCAAATTCTAAATACAACTGTATAAGTGAAAAAAATCCAAAAAAAAGGCGAAAGATTCTCAGTATCCTTCCTGAATAAACATCATCCACTACCGCTACCAGATACCTTTTTTTTTGAGGTAAAATAGAAAGAAATAAAACTACCAAGGGTACCATAATGTAAGAAGTAAAATGGAAACCCATCCTTGGAGTTCAACGTCCATCCACTTGACTTAAGCGGAAGAAATAACTAGTGACAAAAAGTGTAATTTTGCCAGAGACCAAATACTTCAGTATCTAACTTATCAAAGTATCTAACTTATCAAAGAAGCAAATATAACTAATAGATAGCCTAACATTAACAGATCCTTAGAAGTTTCCTCCTCCATACTTGAGCTAACGTGAAACAGTGCGTAGCGACATCGTGAAATCACAGTTCACTATCAGTTGTTGTTTTCTTTCCATTCACAGCAACCAGCTCAGTGTCGAACACAAGTGTTGCACCACCTATAAGTTTGAACAGATATAAAAATGCAAGCAATAAGTAAAATGAAACTACATTGTCGAAATTATTAATGAATTTCTTAATAGACAAATATGTGCCTATTTCATTTATGATCCCAGCATAGCGTTTCTCTAGTTAACAAAGGATAGATGTAGCCGTCATCTGAATTTAAGCAGGCACTAAACCCACATGATGAAGAATACGACATAATGCCCCTCCCCCACCCCACCACCCCCTACCCGCTCAATAAAATATACATGTCAATCATGGAGATCAAGCTAGTTACTAATCCAGACAGACACAAACTGACTTCCTTTTACATAGAAATCAAAAGCAACGCCAACAAAGAAGAATTCATTCTGGTGAAGACAGAACTTCACAATATTTGAAAAAATTCTTGAACAATTTTTTTGAAGTTTTGTTTATTTCCAAGTTTTTGCAAAAAAAAAAAATTTTAAAAAAGATTTCTGAGTTGACAAATTTCCCATTTTCCAAATTCACAAAAAAGAGAAATTCACCAAACAAACAATTTTCTGAAAACCTAAAGAGATTTTGTGAGAAGCAATGCAACCAGATTGAGAGTACATTTATGGCTAATGAAGCCACGCTATTAAAACTATTTGTTCAGAATCAGAAATAGACACAACAAAAATAGTTGACTAGGGTACAAAGGATAATGTCCAACACTTTACACTTGTGATCTATAGCTTTTAGCTAATGCTTTAAGCAGAATTTCTAAGTTACTAGAGAAGAGCTGATGTTACCTGGGATCTTTGGTGGAGATCCACTCTCACCATAACCAAGTTTAGCAGGGATTTTCAACTTTCGCTTCTCTCCCACACACATTCCAAGAAGTCCTTGATCCCAACCTGCAAAGCGACATTCAGTATCATATAGCTTGTATCTCTGTCAAAATCTCTATGTGTCCATGTCCTTAAATATTACCGTAGACTGTTATCATATTAAATGAATTACATAAAAGGGACATCAGAATAGGGAAGCATAGATCTAGCTTATAGGAACTTATACTATAGGCTTGCTTTACTTCATGAGTAGATGTGTTACCTTGAAGAACAGGAAACAAAAAAAGAGGTTCTCATACTTCATGAGGAGCCAAAGGCCTCATATCCCTCATATCATTGAAAAGGCACACACTTTTTATGGTGTTGTGATTTCATTTTGTCAGCTTCTATTTACAATGCTGGCTCTTTTGCTTTTTTTCTTTTCTCTTGCTAAGTAACAGACAAGCTCCTTTTTTCCAACTATTTACTTTGTTGTGATGAAATAATCCCTTTGGAACTTGTTTGGTGTATTATAAAGATTATTACACAAATCAACGGAAAAAGGTTTACTGTCCAAGGTGTTTTGGGTAAATTTCAAATCGCAAGCTCCCACAAAGTATTAAAAAGCCAAATCATCTTGAAAAGCAAAAGACAAAAGCAATAAGCCATCTTTTGTTTTGTAAGCGCTACACCCATTATGCATGCAAATATTCATGCTTATCATTGTCAAGAATTTAATGGCTTTTCGCTGAGATTCTAGCTCCTAATATGCTTCTCACAACTGCAGCTAGCTATCATAGAGGGAAACCATTAAAGAAGAAAAAGAAAAGGCAAAAAATGCACCAATGCAATGATAACATGTTTGATAGTTCCAAAGGATTAGAAATGAATAAATGATGTAGAATGAACATTGGTTAAAAGAATCACAAACAAACCTTTAATCACTTGACCACTTCCAAGTTCAAATTCAATGGGGTCATTCCTCTCATAGCTGGAATCAAATACAGTTCCATCTGTAAGTTTTCCCTGCAGGCGCATTAGGATATAGAGTGAATCACTTCGACGTTACCTCTAGTTTGAAAAAACTAAATCAATCAGACTCTTAAAAAATACAAGGAACTTCGCTGCAACCCTTTCATGTTTGTTTCATCAAATATCCAATGCTAATGCTCACACCCTGATTCTTTGACACATGGCATTTCCTTCATACTCCCTCTATTCCAGTCTATGTGACACTATATTTAGAAGCAGAGGAGTATCTTTGTCACATGACATTTCCTCAACTGTGGGAGGTGGATGATGTAGGGTACAACAGTTTAAGGAATAGGAAATGTCTAGTAGAAGCTCCTCTTTGATTGGACATGTTACAATATCATGACTGAAAAAGACATTATCTCTAGTGTAAATGATTCGTCCTTACCTAAGCTTGCCAAGGAATATGAATAAAAGCAGATGAGAAGGGGGGAAAATCTGAATAATCAAGTGAAATTTTTCTCCTTCCTAGCCCATTCTTAAATTCAAACCAATATGCATGAATATAATTCTCCAACATAATTGACAAAAGAACTCCAGTTATCAAAGTAAGGATTGCTCTTTTTTCTTTTGGATAAAGGTAAGTAAGGATTGCCTAAAAGGAGTGAACACAATAATTTATTCATCAATCAGTAGGTATTTAGAAACACTTCATTCCTATAGGTAACTTTCCTTCCATCCACAGTTAGGAGCTTTTAAATAGTTAAAGTAGAGAAGCACTTCTACTCACACTGTAGTGTACTGAGACTCTATCGCCCTTGTGAGCCTTAAGTTCGCAAGATGTTGGCTTAAACTGCAACAGATGGACAAAGAAAACAATAGGTTAGTGTTTAGACTACTGAATCACCAAATGAAAGAGACATACAAGCATTACTATCATCATCACGAAACCTAAAATATTGATGACTCTACAAAAGCAATGTAAACATTTGAGAACCAAAAGATACTAAGATTTCATGAGAGTATCAATAAATTATGCTTTTCTCCAGATAGCTGCGACACTGGATTTGATAAATATCTTCCCGACTTCATTCAAGGAGAAGTTCAATTTCATGGACACAACAAAAAAGTTATTTTACTACATATGGATCACCAATACATTCAGTAGACAAATACTACGTGAGTGATAGCATGACAACATATATTTATTTAAATGAGGGACAAGTATGATATGTAAGAGATGCGTAACAGATTAGCTATTCTCTCCTATCAACCAATTGTTCCCTGTTAAATACACCTCGTCATCAAAGCTAACCACCATAAGAGACTAGCTTTTCATTCCCCATTCATGCTTTCTATCTACACAGCTCACTGAGAATACAGTTGATGTGTACTCACACTTAGTGAGGGGTTTCACTCGAACCAATTAAAGAACCACAACTTCCCCCTCTCCGTGTGCGCAGATTCACTCTACACAATTCTGCTAGAGGTAACAGTATGAAGCACTTATGATTCAATTTTCATCGAATCACTAGTCTAAAGACTAATGTTGAGTGAAATAACATTTGCAATCTAAAACTATGCTCTTCTTCATATTTTTTTAAAAATTTAAATGCCTACAACCTAAAACTAGGTCAAAAGCAAGAGATCGCGAGGTTCATTCTATAGAAATTAGAAATATTAGCAATTTGCAATACAATACTCCACAATTAAATTGTCACGTCAGGAAGTCATATGAAACAAAAACGAAGAGCTCTCTTTAATTATAGAAGTTCAAACAAAAACGAAACTACATATATGATCAAACGCAGTTCATTCTTCAATCAGTTATACAAACATGAATCGAAGAATAGAAAAAGGCCAAAAGTTTTACCTTCACACCGATCTGCAACTCCGTAACATCGCCGGACTTCTTAGCGGAAACTGGAAAATAGAAATCGAAACTTAGAACGTTTGACTTAGTATTTCATTTTCAGTTCAAGAGAAAACTTAGCGCATTTACAGATCTCATACAAAAATCAATAATATTCAAATAGATTACCTAGAGTAACAAGAAGAAAAACAATGAAAATTGAAGTGGCATTAAATGCGCGGCCGAATTCCATCGTCGATTCTGTTTCTACACACTGCAAAATCTCCTCCTGTTCCCTTCTTTCCTTCTAGTAAATATGTAAGGGTAGATCCACAATAACCCACTACAGATCTCCGACGTAATAAAAGAACCAGAGGACCAATCATTATTTGCCACGTCATCAGCCAGGCTAATGACTGGACAATGCGTCCACGTCATCAACTTTTTGGTGGGAAAATAAGGAAGAGTACGGTGTCGTTTTTTTTATTTTTAAGCAAAAGGCAAAAAAGCTACTCCTATTATGGAAAGTTGGCATAAACGCTCTCTCGCCATGCCATACATTCTCTGCTTTCCTTCCTTAATTCAAGCATTGAACAGAAATCCAAACCCTTGTCCTCTTTCTCCTCTCTCACAAACCCTAATCGCCCGAACAATGAGGTGAGAGAAAAAGAGAAAGGTATGCTACAATGGGTAAAAAAAGGTACAAATTCTATGAAAAAATCCCCTGCTGCCTCCTCTTCTTCCTCCTCATAGCCGTTGCCTCACCGGATGAGTTATCCGTCGTCGTCCGTGATGGTTCTAACGATGATGCATCTATTATGGCTAAATTGGCTAAGTCTCTTATACCAACACCACCTGGCTGGTCAGGTACCAATGTATGTAAATGGTCAGGCGTCTCATGTGACTCTTCAGGCAGAGTTTCTTCAATTAGTCTCATATCAAAATCTCTAGGAGGTCAATTACCACCAGATCTTAATCAACTTTCTAATCTTCAAACCTTTAATATCCAAAAGAATCGCATTTCCGGTTCGTTACCTTCTTTATCAAACCTTCCTTCTCTTCAAGATGTTCATCTTGATTCCAATAATTTTACGTCTGTTCCAACTAATTTCCTTTCCGGACTAACAAATTTACAGAAGTTTAGCATTGATGACAATCCTGGTCTTCCTCCATGGACAATTCCTGATAGTTTGACGGACTCAACGTCCTTGGCTGATTTTTCAGCGTCTAACGCAAATATCATGGGTCAAATTCCGGATATTTTTGGGTCATTTCCTAGTTTGGAGAGTCTTAGGCTTTCGTATAATAATCTTACGGGGTTCTTGCCGTATTCTTTTGCTAAGTCTGGGATTCAAAACTTGATACTTAATAATCAAAAGCTTGGGCTTACAGGCAGGATTGATGTTCTTGGTTCTATGGAACAGTTAACTCAGGCTTGGATCCATGTTAACAAGTTTGAAGGGCCAATTCCTGATCTTTCTCTTTGTACTAATTTGGTCGATATCCAGCTTCGTGATAATAGCTTAACTGGAGTGATTCCTCCTTCTCTGACTTCCCTTCCTAAGCTAACTAACGCGTCTTTGCAAAATAACATATTTTTAGGCCCAATTCCTGGTTTCAAACCAAATGTCCAGGTGACCCTTGGAAACACAAACCATTTTTGTAATCCTTATCCAGGACCATGTGATCCACAGGTAACTATATTGCTTGATGTTGCTGGAGCTGTGGGTTGTCCGATGATACTAGCCGAATCTTGGGCGGGGAATAATCCTTGTAAAGGTTGGAACTATATTACATGTGATGCTAAGGGAACTGTGAGTGTAATCAATTTTGCAAAACAGAATTGGGTTGGTACAATATCTCCTGCTGTTGCTAATCTCACCGGTCTCAAATCATTGGTCATGAATGATAATAATCTCACAGGTCCTATTCCGGTTAGTCTCACCAGTTTACTAGAGCTGCAGCTTGTCGATGTTTCCAACAACAATATTTCTGGCAAGATCCCAAAATTTCGTTCCGATGTCATACTGAAAACGTCTGGTAATCCATTTATGGGGAAAGATGTACCCCCAAGTGCTCCACCTGGTGCAAGACCAAGTTCAAGTTCGTCAACAGATAATAACTCACCTTCTGCTGCCAAAGATGAACATAAATCTTCCGTTTCTACATGGGTCATTGTTGGTATTGTTCTTGCTGTTGTGGTCTTAATCCTAGTTTTGTGCTTGGTGATATATAAATACAAGCGTAATGGAAAATCAAAACTGAATAAAGGCAAGGAGCAAAAATTGAAGAATGGTTCCTCTAAAAATATGAAGGGTTATGGTGCAATTCCAAGCACGGCCAGTCAAAGTGATACCTCAAACAGTGAAATATATGTATATGATGGTGGGCATGTAACTATCCCAGTGGAACTTCTGCGAGAGGCGACAAACAATTTCAGCGAAGAAAATATATTGGGACGTGGTGGTTTTGGGATTGTTTACAAAGGTAGACTCCATGATGGGACAGAGATTGCTGTGAAGAGGATGGAAGCTTCTATAGCAAGTAACAAGGGTCTAACCGAATTCAGAGCTGAAATTGAGGTACTCACAAAGGTTAGGCACAGACACTTAGTGGCACTTCATGGGTTTTGTGTCAATGGATATGAGAGGCTTTTAGTATATGAGTACATGCCACAAGGGACATTAGGCCAGCACTTGTTCGATCATGATCAACTAGGATTTCTACCTCTCACTTGGAAACAAAGATTAACAATAGCACTAGACGTTGCTAGAGGGGTAGAGTATCTGCATGGTTTGGCACAACAGAGCTTCATACATAGAGATCTAAAGCCTTCTAACGTACTTCTTGGGGATGACATGAGAGCTAAGGTCTCCGATTTTGGACTAGTTAAAAATGCACCTGATGGCAAGTACTCGGTGGAGACGAGGCTAGCAGGAACTTTTGGGTATCTTGCACCAGAGTATGCTTGTATGTACAACACTCCTTTTATATTGCATGAATTAGTTCAATTTAAACCTGAGTTACCACAGAACAAGCAAAGGAACTATATGTCTAACTCGAGTCGTTATAATTTGCTAATAAATTTAATGGTTAAAATGCATGACCAGCTTAACTATCCCTAGTAAAATGAGAATTTCATAGTAGTATTTGATTAGGAATATATGTTATGTTTACACATGATAACTATATATTCTCATGACATCTCTGTCTTTTGTTGGAACTAGCCACTGGAAGAGTAACTACGAAGATTGATGTCTTCGCCTTTGGAGTGATATTGATGGAGATTCTCACAGGCAGAAAAGCACTTGATGAGAGCTTGCCAGAAGACAGAAGTCATTTAGTGGCTTGGTTTAAAAAGACGGTTGTGAACAAAGAGAAGATTGTAGAAGTGCTAGACCCGACCCTCCTAGATCCAGATGAGGAAACTTACCAGAGCATATGCAAAGTAGCAGAGCTAGCAGGACATTGCGCAGCTAGGGAACCATCTCAGAGACCAGATATGGGCCACGCGGTAAATGTCTTAGCTCCTCTGGTAGAGCAATGGACTCCCACTGCTGCTGCTGGAGATGATAGTTTCAATATTGACTTCACTATGAGCCTTCCTCAAGCCCTGCAAAAATGGAAAGCTAATGATGATTCCATGCTCTCTGAAGACACGTCGTATGGTGCCTATTCCGCATCCACAAGGACTTCACAGTCCATAACAGCAATCAGGAAGGTATCAGAGACAGACAAAAACGCATTTAGTTATACAAAGGAACACCAGTGAGTAATGTAAACATACTTAAAATTGTGGCGAAAACAAGTGTATATTAATGCCAAGGAACTGATAACATAGATATGCACCATTCTGTCTCATTTTCCGCTCATAGAATTTATTTTCTGCTCAATTATGGATCAGGTAGACATTTGGATTTTATAATAGATTCCTAAAATTTGGCTCTAAAATCCTCTCTATCGCTGTCAAAACTTAGCTGGACAAAAGTAGACGAAAAATAAGCCGCGAAAAAACATAAGAAAGACCTAATGAGCTAGTGAAATAGAGCACAGCTGCAACTTTTCCGATAAAAGATTTTCTCTTGGTTTGTCCTCTTCTTCTATAGATCCATAGTTCATACACAAAATTGAATCTGAATTTATGGTAATGGGGTGATTTTTGATGATGATATCTCATAAAATATTAGTGTGTGTAAATGGAAAATACATGTATCAGAAGTCCTTTTTTTATATGTGATACATACATGAGGCATATACTTTGTCTTAATTGGGTTGTATCAGAGTATCTAGTTAAATTGAGAATGTGTATCCACCAACATTGAATAGTTTGTTAATCCCTCCAGATGAGTGTTATATTTGATATATAGTGACTTGTCTTAAGATCAATGTGTTTAGAAAAATTGAAAAAATTAAGTTGAGCAAATTGATATAGTATATCCAACTAAACTAGACAAACATATACAATAAAATTGAACAAACAAATATAGAGAAATTGTTGTATGAATGATGCAATACGAATTTTAAAAGACTATATCAATGATACAATGTGAATTTACGTAAATTTCAGAAGGTTGTATTTGAGATATACAATGCGAATTTCAGAACTGTTTAAATGTATTGTAGTTATCAAAAGTATTGTCATGTATGGTAAATTAGTAACAATGTGCCGCTAGTTGTGAAATCTCTTCTATTTTTTATTCATAAAAATGTGGACAAATATACGCAAAATATGGGTATTCATATCGATACTCACTTTTGTAATATTCAAAATTGGAGGTGGCAAATGGACGGTTTCAACTAAATTTGCACAGGTCAGTATGAGTTGAATAAATAAATTGGACACTGCCGAACTCTGCCCAAAGCTTACATGCATGAAGTGAGATACATTAGGTCAAGATGTGCTAAATAATGGGTCATAACTCAATCCATTCAACTTCATCTATTATTTTTAGGGCAAACAACATAAATTCCACTAGTTTAACTCATAATTACTAGGAATTTTGATAGTTTTTTATATTACTTTCTATATCATTTTCGGCTATAGGATACATGTATCCATCAGGTTTAAAAGGTCGAGATACATGATTTAATACTTTTGAAATAAATGTTGTAACTTATTTCCTTAATTAAAGTAGTAACTTATGGTAAATTTACAAACAAAACGGATTTGAATGAGCCTTCCATATTAACTAACTTTCACATATAACAAACATAAAAATCATATTTGTATGTTATAATTATAGTTTGCATAAT